GTTTTTGTTCTAATTATGCATATGAACTAACAAAATGTCTTAAGTTTATACATGAATTTGTTTGAAAAATAATGAAATGATTAAAAATATCCGGTCAAAAAAACAATGAAAAAAATATTATTACCACATCATTCATGAAATTTATGATGTTGGATCATTTGTGTGGTTACATGACCTAAATCCGAAGAGAGGTTTAAACCGCAAATTACCAAAAGACTGATGTGGTCCTTTTGTAATTATCGTGCTCAAGAAATACAGAAATCTTAACCAAAAGTGGTCCATCACGACAAACTAAAGCTATATACAGACAGCAATGCAAAAGTTATTTGAAAATAACTAAATGCTAAATGAATAATTAAATAAAATTTGGAGAGAAAAATAATGATGGTGCAAATCTCTAATGCATATAGTGCTTTCTTAGAAGGTACAATTATCTTTGTTATATATATATTTTATATATATATATAATATATATATATAATATATATAATATATATATATATATAATAACTAAATGCTAAATGAATAATAAAATAAAATTTGGAGAAAAAAATAATTATAGTGCAAATCTCTAATGCATATAATGCTTTCTTCGAAGGTAAAACTATCTTTGTTATAATATATATATATATAAACAAGTCTAAATTGAAAACAACGTTCAAACCTATGATTGCGTTGGATAAAAACCGCAATTTTTATACGTGTGCATGCAAAACACATTTCTTGTTAGAGGGGTCTAAATACAGCACAAACAACATTTTCCAAAATACCAAAAAAGTGAAAAAGTATAATTTAACAAAACGCATTTGACTGACAGGTCGAACAACAAATGTTCTTAAACCCTGCTGACTGCCATTGGCGATTGCCAAATAAACGGATCACCGATGTACTAAATGGATCTTCATTATAAATTTAATACTAAACAGAAAACAATAAACTTGCGGAAAAGATGATATACCGCAAACAAAAGGTGCAAAGGTTTTAGTACACCATATCCGGATTTCGACAATTAATGTCTCTTCAGTGATGTTAGGAATCGAACGGTATTTGGAAAGCCATACAATTTACCTCAATTTAGGATATACTCTTGAATTTTGCGGAGTCAAAATAGGATGAACGGATCATATAAACCCGAAGGCAAATATAATACAAGCCCAAACGAAAAAATATAAACAAGTCTAAATTGAAAACAACATTCTAACCTATGATTGCGTTGGATAAAAACCGCAATTTTTATATGTGTGCATGCAAAACACATTTCTTGTTAGAGGGGTCTAAATACAGCACAAACAACATGATATTTTGTTCACACATTCATGATACTGTATTTATGCATATTAATTATATAATAATGCGCGATCCTTGTGAAGATAAATTTTCGGACGCACTGAATTGATAAAGTGTTATTTTTATTTTCTAGAATGGTCCCCATGTGTATCATAATTCTAGAAGTCAATGCTTGAGTGTATGGTTTAATTAAACGGGATTTTCAAGAAATGAAACTGAGAACTTCACCTTTGCAAACAGCATAGATCTAATATAGTTGAAGAGCTACTGCATGAGAATCTCAACGCACTTGGTGTAGAATTACAATATACAAATGACATTGATCTTTTGGATTTTCTAGAGTCACCATTGATTAGAACTCCTCGGTTAGCCTGACCAGTACGAAATGTTTTTTTTTAACTTTTTTTCCGTCCGAAATGTTATACCGAGAGAGCGCGAGATATAGTAGGAGGAGAACCTTTTACCCTAACTAATCCATCAGCTCCAACCTTTTGAGTCAAAGCCATCTCAACTGTCGCCTTCATTGTCTGCATCTAGTTGTTCAGCACTGGGAGAGGTGAAGAAGTCTTTATCCACGTTGATAGATAAAACAGCCGCTGAACACGCCACGACAAGGGAAGATATAGGTATCAAGTTCAGGGTTTGAGATCAGTAATTTGAGAGCAGGGAGTGATATTCATAGGTTAAAGAATGACAGACCGAACAGAACCACTATTGTCAACCGTTTCTGGATCCAGCAACGGCGCCAGACGCCTACACCTCACCACCGTCAAACTTTTATACATCCACCATCACCTGCAAAGAGAAGAAGGTAAATAATCATTTAGGGTATACATTTGTCTTGTTATTATTATTATTGTTACATTTGCTAGTGCACAGTGCTCCTTTGTTGTACCGTTCGTGCAGCGCGGGTAAAATAAGACGTGTCTAAAACGTTGTTTTGACGTCACTTTCACGCCAATTCTTTTGGAGCGAATCTCTTCCAAAATTTCATTGGAAAAGTAAGACCATTTTTGACGTTTTAAGAATTTTATTCAGTTAGCTAAATTTATTATTAGAAAACGTAACTTACGAAGATTTCAATGCAATTTTTTATAAATTAATTTTAATTTGTGTGTATTTTTCAAGATTACTTTCAGAACTTAAGAACACGAGAAAGCTTTTAAAGTTCATTGTTTTTGAATTAGAATGTTTTGCTTAAGTAAATCATTTCCGGAAAGTTAGATTTTTCTAGTTACAGTCCAAAGTCAATCAAATCATTTTCTGCACATAAGTTAATAGAAATGAAAAGTATATCCGAGTGTTTATTGTTTTACATTTATTATTTCCTGTGTTACAAGACATACGATACTAGTGAAGTCTCTAGTACATTTGTCTTGCTATGAATAATTTAATTACTAAGAAAAAAGGGACACAAGCAGTGCGTTAATAGTCAAGTCTCTGGTACACTTCTCTTGTGATAAATAATTTAATAAACAAGGCAAAAGGGACACAAGTCATTCACTACTGGTAAAGTGTGTATTACACGTGTATCGTGATAAATAATTTAATAAATCAGGAAAATATGATACAAGACATACGCTAAGTACTACTACAGTCTCTAGTACATTTGTTTTGTTTGAATAACTAAATAAATAGGAAAATAAGGATATAGGGCATACGCTAATAGTACAGTTCCTGATTAAATAACTTTAAAAAAAATAAGGAAATAAGTTAAAAGACATACACTGCTAGTAAAGTCTAGCATATTTGTCTTGATTTCAGTAATAGAGTTAAGAATAAGGGTTTTTTGGACTACACTGATAGTAAAGTATCTTGTATTTATCTTGAATTAACTAAGTAAACCAAATTAGTGACAAGCATTAAATTAAATGACAGGCGCTGCTAGTAAAGTCTCTCAGCACAATTGTAATTAAAATTTACATTTGTATAAACTGAGAATAACTTATTAACTCTTTAAAGAACTATTTGTACAGTCAATTGCAAGTAAAACTTAATAACCTTAATAACCTTTAGATCTTAGACATACGCTCTAGCACAGGGTCAGCTAGCACACTTGTCCATCTTAACTTCGTACACTTGATAACGCTCTTACACAGAGTCAGCTAGCACACCTTCTTATGTACTAAAGTAGTAACATTTAATAAAAAAAAATAATACATTAAAAATCTTTAGACCTTAGGCAAACGCTCTATCATACAGTGAGCTAGTACACTTGCCTATCTAAATTCCGTACATTTGATATTGCTCTAGCACACTTTCTTGTGTACTAAACTGTTCTAAAGATTTTCATTAAATATTGTCCATGTAACACTAGATATGTATACATTTTAAACTATGTGAATCACTCAGTTAAACAGTTGATTATATATATACCTCAGACATACGCTAATAGTAAAGTCTCTAGTACATTTGTCTATATGTTATATGTAATATTAGTTACTGGCCTCATTGCTATATACCAGTTTCAGTGTATCTGAATAAAACTCAAGTCAAGTTATAAAAAAAACTATATTTTTAACCATATTTTCACTATTAACAGTAGTTCTAATATAGTTAAAAGTATATTGAAAGTGACCATAATACCATGCCAATAATGAAGTATTGAACTTTAATCTGTATTCCTTTTCCTTACATGCATTAGATTTAAACAAATCTAGAGAGACAAAGAGATTGCTTTTCCTGTCAATATTTCTGGTACTTTGTGTCACCTCAGTGTTGGCACTGATTTTGAGATGTAGTCTTGTTTCAGGGTATTTAGTACGTTTATTGGTTGGTAGGTTGCTGACCACCTTATTACCATATAGCTCTTGTGCGCTACAGTATGAACGGCGAGCAAAGGGCTTTTTAACATGTATTAATTAATCCATCATTGTCTACTAAACGTTCAGTGACAAATATCCCACGCATATTCAGGACGGCAACAAATGGACATTCAGGTTAGGGTGACGGTTGGCGCCTGTTAAAGGGAAATCACACTATTTATACTACTAATAATAATTCATTGACATTTTGCATGTAGATAGATCATACTTATTACGAAATTTTAGGCGAAAAAAAAATTGGGGTCACCTATGTTGTTTTCGAGATATGACGTCATCAAAACTTAAAGAATCGCGTTTAACAAAAATATAAAAATAGCGCTCTAAGTTGCTAAAAAAATGCAAAATTATTAAAACAAGATGTTTAACTGTGATAATAAAAACAGTCAAATGTAACTTGTACCTTAAAAACATTTATTTGTCTCAATTTCATTATTTTTCAAGGCCTTTTAATATTTCCCGCCATTTTTAATTGCTATTTATTCTAGATTTTTCTCAAAATAAAAAAAATCTACTGTTTTTTCATTCAAACTTCTGCATAAGTTGCAGCTTCAGGGAAGATTTTAAAAGCACAAATAAACTAGAGGCTCTAAAGAGCCTGTGTCGCTCACCTTGGTCTATGTGCATATTAAACAAAGGACACAGATGGATTCATGAAAAAATTGTGTTTTGGTGATGGTGATGCGTTTGTAGATCTTACTTTACTGAACATTCTTGCTCCTTACTATTATCTCTATCTATAATGAACTTGGCCCGGTAGTTACAGTGAAAAATACTTTGTAAAAATTTACAAAAATTTACAAAATTTATGAAAATTGTGTAAAAAATTGACTATAAAGGGCAATAACTCCTTAAGGGGTCAACTGACCATGTTGGTCAAGTTGACTTATTGGTAGATTTAACTTTGCTGTACATTATTGCTGTTTACAGTTTATCTCTATCTATAATAATATTCAAGATAATAACCAAAAACGGCAAAATTTCCTTAAAATTACCAATTCAGGGGCAGCAACCCAACAACGGGTTACCTGATTGGTCTGAAAATTTCAGGGCAGATAGATCTTGACCTAATGAACAATTTTATACCACCATATTTGCTCTAAATGCTTTGGTTTCAGAGATATGAGCCAAAAACTGCATTTTACCCTATGTACTATTTTTAGCCATGTCGGCCATCTTGGTTCGCGGGCGGGGTCATCGGACACATTTTTTAAACTAGATACTCTAATGATCATTGTGGACAAGTTTGGTTAAATTTGTCTTAGTAGTTTCAGAGGAGAAGATTTTTGTAAAAGATTACAAAAATTTACGAAAAATGGTTAAAAATTGACTATAAAGGGCAATAACTCCTTAAGGGGTCAACTGATCATTTTGGTCAATTTATTTGTAGATCTTACTTTGCTGAACATTATTGCTGTTTACAGTTTATCTTTATCTATAATAATATTCAAGATAATAACCAAAAACGGCAAAATTTCCTTAAAATTACCAATTCAGGGGCAGCAACCCAACAACGGGTTGTCCGATTCATCTGAAAATTTCAGGGCAGATAGATCTTGACCTGATAAACAATTTTAGCCCATGTCAGATTTGCTCTAAATGCTTTGGTTTCAGAGATATAAGCCAAAATCTACATTTTACCCCTATGTTCTATTTTTAGCCATGGCGGCCATCTTGGTTGGTTAGCCGGGTCACTGGACACATTTTTTAACATAGATACCCCAATGATGATTGTGGCCAAGTTTGGTCAAATTTGGCCCAGTAGTTTCAGAGGAGAAGATTTTTGTAAAAGTTAACGACTGTCACAGGGTGACTGTGTTTACTCACATATATGTTGTTATTTTGGTTGTTAATTCTATTTCGATTTGCAGAACGTCAGTATCTTATAAATGCTATATTCTGCAGACTTCGGTGTATAATACATGTCCACATTTTACATCTAATTAATTAAGTAGTGTCCACTATTTACTTGGGCATTTACCTGTAAACTTGTCGAACGGGTTGAGTAACAGTGATACCTGTATTTGATGAGCTGACTATTCACTCTCAGGTAACACCTTAACGAGTCAAGGTGTGGTCAGAAATGTTTGTATAAAGTTAGTTTACAATGTGGCGTGGACACACACACTGGATTTCTGAGGTAGGATTCAATTTATTCTTATTTATTTAATCATTATTCGTTCTAAAGTGTTCAGTTTTCTGCAACAACGCAAATATAGAATAATTATTTCAATTGTAATTGTAATTTTTGACATTGCTATTTTATAAATGTAATAAGTTAATTAATGTTCATTATAATGAAAGTTTAACACGGTTATATGTTTCCGGCTGTAGTAAATATTCGAGTATCGAAATTGTTTGGTATTTTAGGAACGTTTGCGTACGATAATGCAATGATGTATGTATCTCCATAAGTATGTAAAGTAATATGCAACGTATAAGCATAAATGTATATTCAGCGTTAAAAGCTGTATATTGTGTGTAGTAATTGTATAATGATAGTATACAATAAAGTCAATTATGTGACTTGTAAAGTAAGGCATTGTACGATATGCCGTAGTTTGTATTGTGTAAAGTAAGGCATTATACGATATGCCGTAATTATTTGTGTATAAGTAATGCATTATTCAATATGCTATAATCTTCTATAGATTGAACATAAGTAGTCGTACTAAGTATATGTCATTATTTATGCGACATGTGTAATACATAAACATATGTATATTTCTTAAGTATAGTATTGTATCTTAACGTACAGTATGTATTTCAATAGGTCCCAGTTTGCGGGCTAGGTGTATGTAGTTTTGTATAGTAAAGTATGGAGATATAGTACAGATGGTGGTGAAACCTGTTGACAGTGCGGCGTTCCGTGTTTATCATCAATAGTTTGGCAACATAGAATATTTGGAGTCGAGTCTAGACAATAGGGCAGCCGTAATGTGTACACCGCTTATGTTGGGCCAGTTTTGTGTAGTTACCGAAAACCAAATACGTAAAATTCCGTAGTATCGTTTATCCAGATTTCATAGTTTAATATAAAGAAGAAGGAACAGTTCATTAAACATTTGACAGTATTATTTCATTTCATTTCATCTATTTATATTTGTAAATTTGTACCTAATTAAATTGTTATTTTGTTTAAAGTAGTAGTCATTTATTATCTGTAAGTACAAACTCCTAAGTCAGCTCTCGTCTATCCGTGACAACGACGACGGACGACGACGACGGACGACGGACGCCAAGTGATGAGAAAAGCTCACTTGGCCCTTTGGGCCAGGTGAGCTAAAAAGGGGGGTCACCGATGTTTTAAAACCGCTAAAAAGGAAATAATCATATTATCGAATTTTGGCGGGAAATATATCTTTTCTTTTAACGTTATAGAACGACGTTGCTGGTATAGCAGCATTTTGTGCTACGCTTGCATTGAGTTGAATCAACATTTTTCACTTCAAACCATAATATCATGTTTGAACATTTTTTAAGGTATTTTGATAATTTATTAATATTTTTATCAATCTATCGAATCGTTAAACAAACATAAAGTAACAGTTTATTATAAAGAAATTGTCAAAGATGAATATAAGGTGACGGTACTCAAATTGCACCTATTTTGACAGTTTTTTCACCTAAGTTTTTTTATGATAAAGACAAAAATTTCCATTCTGTGTTTATTTTGTAGCCGTATCCTTCTTTATTATATAGGTACACCAATTTGATTTTTAATCCCTATTGAGTCATAGAAAAACGGGTTTGAATCCAAACTATCCATGATTCCGTAATGAGGAGTACCCAAATTGCATCCATGCTTAAATTCACATCATTAAAAATCAAGTAACAGATGTTTTGTTTTATTTTTTCAAATATTTAGAACAATTTGGCATTAGTACATGCTCACTATTCATTTTTTTTAAAAAAGATGCTTGTAACATATTTGTTTTGTTCATTTTTAAAAGATGACTTTTTGTGAACGTCGCATGGCGGCGTTTTCGTACATTTTTCTTTTCCAGTGAAAGCTTCATCTGTTGATAAAAACTGTGAACGTTTAGTGTATATTTGAATATATTCACCTATTTTGTAAGACGCGTATAATGTCAAATAACTAAAATACAAATTGTTTAGTCTCAAAGAAAACTTTTAAGAATTTCTCAGCTGTTTATGTTGAATAGGTGCAATTTGGGTACTCGGTGCAATTTGGGTACCGTGACGTTAGTTATCAAAGGTACCAGGATTATAATTTAATACGCCAGGCGCGCGTTTCGTCTACATAAGACTCATCAGTGACGCTCAGATCAAAATAGTTATAAAGCTAAACAAGTACAAAGTCATCTCATTTTTATTTGATTGCATTTGTTGTATGAGGAAAACGAATGATTGCCTCATGCCATATTATTGCAGTGTATCCGCTGAAAAGTAACGCGTTCCTTTTTGACTGCAGGCAGAATAATTTCACTGCCTTGTCCATTCGCACCGGGAAGATAAAACCTGAAATGCTGTGTAAATGCCACAAACTCAGCACGTTGAAAAAACCTTAATGACACTATTTTCGAAAGGATCTTACAATTGGTTAACATTTCCGTACTTACACAATGCTGCATAATTTATTCGAACTGTGGCAACCAATATTTACTGAGTTCCATCGTCTACACATACATCGTTTCATATTCATTGTATATACATTGTAATATTGTTCAATGTTCATCGTCTGGGTATTAAAGCTTTATGATTTCTTATTTGTTATTGCCGTTCGATTAATCGATCAACTTTGGTATGTTATGCAATGCAATGCATCTGATAAATGTGAACACACACTGACAACAGAGGCGGATTAAGCAAAGGCCGGTAGGGGAAGGGGCCCGACCACCCCTTTTTGTGGGAAAAATTTGGTTGATTATATAGGGGATCACTGACGCATAACTGGACAGTCAGTAGTCTCCATCTTATAAAAAATTATGGAACCGCCACTGGACAATAAAATACACATCGCCATATTTATATGTAATAAAAATTCTTTTAATTTGTAATAAACGGATCTGGATTTTTTCCTGTTTTGCTACAGGTATCCCGTTTTCTGTGTACACATTGATGCATTTTATCTATCTATTTTTTTATCAGATGTGGCTAAACTTTGAGGTAGATTAAGAGATTAAGTTCGAGTTCCAGTTACATTTTGAGTTAAAGTTCGAGTTTTACTTTGAGTTGAAATATAAGTTGAATAAGAGTTCTCGTTAAAGCTCGAGTTACACTTAGAAACTTCCGATTTATACTATGAGTGAAAATTCTGGTATGAGTTAAAATTTTGAGATTCGATAACATTAAGAGTAAGATTGCAGTTTCTATTTCTGTTGGTGCACCTCTTTTTCTTTGAATGTATATTTTTCATTACATGTATGTTTCAGTTGGTATATATTCTTTTTTTTTGCCAATAATGATCTATGGTAGGTAAACGTCTAGAAGTAATTTGAAAATAACTGATTGATTGTGTGTGCCACTTTCAGCACTCTCTGCTATATCACGTTGGCCATTTTTTTTTTAAAGAACCAATGTATCCAGAGAGAACCAGCTACTTTCGTATTGAAAAACTGGTTGTCCTTTTCAGACATGATCGGATGCGACGATCTCCCTTTATCCCTGTTGACAGGCAAGTGATCACAGTGAGTGATCTGAACATGAACGGTTCAACCTACATCTGAACTATTTATTTTTGGTTTATATTTGGTTCTTTTCTTGGTTTTTGATAAACTTTCAGTGGCATATAGTACATGAATATAAACACAAAAACATTTATCTATGAGTCGAATACTTTTTCACAAGACGGACCTTAATGTGATGGTTACAGTTAGCAGTACTCTGTAAGTAGATATAAGAAGATGTGGTATGAGTGCCAATGCGACAACTCTCCGTTCAAGTCACAAATTATAAAAGTAAACCATTATAGGTCAAAGTACGGTCTTCAACACGGAGCCTTGGCTAACACCTAACAGCAAGCTATAAAGGACTCCAAAAATGACTAATGTAAAACCATTGAAACAGGAAAACCAACGATCTAATCTATATGGAAAACGAGAACGAGAAACATTTATGAACCACATCAACAAACGACAACCACTGAACATCAGGTTCCTCTACATAAATATATGTGTGTGTGTGTTAAATATTTGTCTTGTTGGAGACTTGTAAAGCCAAATATTTTTGTTCTTGTTCAAGGCCGCACGGTCCCCTGTAGATCCACGATATTAGTTAGAACCACAGTTATCTAATTGACATGCAGTTTGAAGGAATACCAGTGGCAAGTTAAAAGATATTCAGAACTAGAACATATCGAAAAATGAATTTTGACCCTGCTTTTTACTAAATCGACAGGCTGAGCCCAATAAATAATAATATGCAATTAAATTTTTGATGAATTATTTATACATGTAGTATAGAAGACTATAGTATTGACGTTTCATGTGATATAAGAAAACTGACAGTCTAAACTCATTGTTCTTATTTATATCTCTTCGTTGGACAGAAAACTACAGATTCCGGAAGCTATACGCTTGCATGCTGTTACTCTTGGTCTATTGTCAATTTTTTTTCAGAAAATATACGCTGAATCCCACATACTGCATCGCGACGATACGCTGCTAACAGTTGAGCCATATCAAGACCACTCTCGGCTATTTTTTTGGCCATACATTTTGTGGTGATTTTTTTATCCACAAGCCCTTGCAGTGTTGAATATCTTTTGTTTGTCTGTTTGACATACACAATATTTCTAATTAGAGATTCTGTACAAAAAGAATTTTCTGACATCTCTGATTCTGATGGTTTTGCAAAGTTTAGAATAGATTGTAATATTTTTACATCCTCAGAAGCATTGTGTGCCTGGTATTGTTTTTGTAATAAATTTTCAGCCAAAAATTCCTGCTGGTGGCACTTCAGATCGGGATACTTTTTCCGGAAAAAAGATAGTGTATCCATAAAGCCGATTACTTTCTTTTGAAATGATGTGCTCAAATTGTATTGTGAAAGAGATCTAATTAGTCTTGGGGCATCAAAACGACGGCAATTATGTCCAACTAAAATAATCTGAGAAGGGAATTTCTCTAGCCAGCATATAAAATTTTGAAATGCTTTTTCTAGAATGCATTGATCTACCCGCTGACCATAATGTTCAAGTATGTTGTTCCATACTGATAGTCCTGTAACCGATGATGCCTGTCTACTTATACACTGCGATGGAGTAATGTACTGATTAAATTCCGACGACTTTTCAATAGCTGAAATTTGAATGATATCACAATCATTTGCAAGTGATGTTGTTTCTAAGTCAAAGTAAACAATTGACATATTATCAATATTGACGTCAAATGTGTCTAACGAAGGGGTTGTAACTGGATCAGATATAAAATCAATGTCTATTAGGGTCGGGTGTTCTAAATCAATAGATGTTTTGTACGTGTCACCTTCCCTCATCTCCACTACTGTTTCCTTTTCTTTTATAATCTGTTTTCGAAATAATTTTCTCCGTTTATTTACTGCTGAATTCTTGTAATCATTTTGGTATTTTCTTTTAACCGCAAGTTTTTCTGACGATTTTTCGGTTATTTTACCTGGGGAAAGACCACACTCTTCATATACCTGTGATATATATCCATATGATATATTTTTTTGAGCAACATTGCAGTCAACCCGACATTCCAAACTTGATGATGAGCACAAATGTTTCGCCTTTGGTGCTTTGTTTGCTAGCATGCTATGAAAAGATTCTACCTCTTTTGTTGATGCACAGGGGGATATTTTCTCAATATTGTCACCGGAGGTGTATTCCCCTATGATTTCAGCAAGTTTTTGGCGAAGAGGCAGGCTATTAAGAGATACAGTGGGTCTGTACTTATTAGGATTTCTTTTGTATGAACACCATTTCTGATTGCAGAGATCATGTTCTTTATATAGATGAGGTACAATAGCTTTTAAGTCATTACCCATGGATTCCGGATCATTTTTGTTTGAGTAAAGAGCAAAAGAAAAACACCTATTGAGATGGGTAATTGCAGGTTTAGTCAAATCATTTTTAAAAGTATTCTTCAAGTTCCACAATTTGTTGTTAAATTGTGATTTAATATGATTTGTATCACTCAATTTCTTTATAGGATGTTGG